GGTTGTTAACCCTCCAGAAGAGAAGCTAATTATTAACCTGCAATATATGCAGTTCGGTTTATCCTATCTGTAGAAATATCAAACGTTTTGGCATATCCTACAACAGGTATTTTCCATCAGATATTGATATGTTGAACTTTAAGTCCTTACCGAATATGAAGGAAAAATAATTATATAAAAGTAGAAATAAGCATTTACATATTTTTACAAAGAAATTTAGAAACCTAGTCATATACGGAATTTTAAGTCCTTATATTAGGGAGATAATATAATATTTACAGATGTGGGTTTTGTTTATTTCATTAATAAGTATATCTTCAAGGTGCATCCACTTAAATATGAAGGCTTCAAGTTTATCATTCTTTATAGCTGAGTAGTACTCCATTATATAAAAGTACCACATCTTTTTCAACCATTCCACATGTGATGGGTATTTTGGTTGTTTCCAAGTTCTGGCTATTACAAATTGTTCTGCTATAAACATAGGCCCACTATATATCACTATGATATGACGCTTTCAGTTCCTCCGGGAAAATTCCCAGTAGGGGGATAGCAGGCTTGAATGGAATTTCTAGTCCTAGTTTTCTAAGGACTCTCCACACTGATTTCCATAATGGTTGCACCAGTCTACACTCCCACCAACAGTGGAGAAGTGTTCCCCTTTCCCCACAGCCTCTTCAACATTTGTTGTTGGTTGATTTCTTTATGATGGCCAATCTTTCTGGGGTGAGATGATATCTCAGCGTTGTTTTAATTTGCATTTCATGGATGGCTAGTGATGTGGAACATTTTTTTATATATTTATTTGCTTCTTTAATTTCATTCTCTGAGAAGTGTGTATTCATCTCAGATGCTCATTTCTGGATTGGGTCTTTAAATTTAGGGGCCCTAATGTTCTTTAGTTCTCTATATATTCTAGAGAGCAGACCTTTGTCTGAGTGCTTATCAGTTAAGATTTTTTTGAAGTTTGTGCGTTGTCTTTTCACTTTGTTGATAATTTCTTTTGACGTGAAAAATCTTCTCAATAAGAGATGGTCCCAGTTGTTAATTCTTTCAAGTGTTTCCTGTGCGTTTGGTTTCTGTTCATGAACTCTTTGCCTACCCCTATGTCTTCAAGAGATCCTCCTACTTTCTCTTCTAGATTTAGTGTTTCTGATTTAATGCTCAGTTCTTTAATCCATTTTGATTTTAGTTTAGTGAATGGTGATAGACCTG